GGTTGGTGGACATTGCGGAAATGGTGGACTCCATGATGACTGTGAGGGATAAAAAGTCTTTCTTCGAGGAGGCGCAGAAGGCGGAGGTGAGCAGGATGTACATGCGGAGGGATCCCATCGACATCCCTGAACGTCTGGGGCTTGACGCTGAGGAAGTGACGATAGACTTTCTGAAAGAGGATCTCCCAAAAGTAGATCTCTCTAAGCTGGTGAACAGATTTGAATCTCCACAACCAAAAGTCTATGCAAGAAAAGAGCCTATTGTCATCACGGAGAGGCTGGGGAGTGATACAGAGGATTCGGAGGACACACCAAGAACTGACGAAATCCCCTCGTTCAACGTAAAAGCCATAAAGGATGTGTTTGAGACTGGAGAGCATAGTTCTCAGGCAGCCCGGGAGCTCAGAGAACAAATAGAAAGAAGAGAACCCCAATCGGCCCACACCGAGGTGGCGGGTCACTCGGAAACGACAGTGGTCACTGAGCAATTCTGCAGCATCGACGACTCGACGAGCGAGATGTGCTCCGGGAGCTCCTTGACCCGCGGCAACCCTCCGTCCTACGCCGACGTGGTGAGAGGCGCGGTGCAAACAGTCGACGTGCCACCCGAGGCCTCCACCGAGGAACTGCTGAGGAACTTCCAGCACTCGTGGGCCGAGAGCCAAGGAGTTTTCCAGAACCTTGGTTTCAGTGTCACGGAGCAGAGGACCTCGCAGATCGTAACGCACCAGCAGGCAACCGTCGTGACGGGTAAACCGAGCTGTGCAGCATGAGGATACTAAACGGGCGTGGCGGTGTGTTTTAACGTGCTTTGCGTGTGAGACGTTTGAGGCATCAACTGCATCGTGTGGAAAGAAAAGAAGCATTAACATTGGTTTGACACTGTTATTTACATGGTGTGATTTTCCTTTGATGTGTTTTTCCTTTGTTTGATCTATTCACACCAAAGCTTGGAGCTGCGTCCTGTTTAGGTGCCGTCAGTGTTTAATATTCGCAGGTTGCACTTTGTCCTCTTTATTCACACTTCCGATGAGTGAAGCTGGCAACATATTGAACTAATATTTCTCATGCCTGGGTGTGCGACGCAGAGAAGTGCTTGAAATGTCTCAAGCAAGAAGAAAACAATCCGTTTAATTTTTATTCTTCAGTTGGAGATTCAGCTTTTATTCCAAAGTAACATTTTGAAATATAGAATTAATTACATTTCAAAGCTTTTGGAGTAATTATGAAAATCACTCTCACTCCTTCGAAGACAAACCATTTTAGACAATTAAACATATTTATAATGACTAATAAAGAGCTAATACGCATGCTAATAAGCAACTAGTTAACAGTGAATATGTGGACCGTAACATAAAGTGGTGCCGTAGTTTTGATGAAATAGGAATTGCTCTGTTTAAACACCAGTAAATATGAATTCATTATTCAGGTGTCATGCTTTAAAGACTCTATTGGTCAGTGGTTCCCAACCTGCAGGTCATGAGCCCCAACGTGGTCCCAAGATAAATCGGAGGGGTCACAAGATCATTTAAGGGATAAAACAGGCCCAATTTATTTTAAGTTTAGTTTTTCTGACATTCCTACAATTGTTTAGTATTTATTTATACACATACTGCTTAATTTGAAGGTCACAAGCCAAAAAAAAGAGGAAAATACTGTTCAAGGCAATTCATTTGAATTAATTAACTACCAACTTCTTGGTTCTTTCCAGCACATTTTCCACGGAAATAAAAAGGAAGTGACCAGCCTGTAAATTAAAGTTGTTGCCTGATTTCTTTGCAGAAAATTCGAGTTCCAGAGTCCGAGCTGTGCCAGGTGTGTCGCAAGAGGGTGTACCCGATGGAGTCGCTGTACGCAGACAACCAAAACTTCCATAGAAGCTGCTTTCGCTGTGAGCACTGCAGCGGCAAACTAAGGTGACGCCATTTCACAGAGCGGACGCATTCTTCTCCCGTCATTCCTTTGCACTACTTTAACCCCTCGTTATCTTCCTTTCCTCTACAGCCTTGGGAACTATGCCTCTCTCCATGGACGAATGTACTGCAAGCCACACTACACGCAACTGTTCAAATCCAAAGGAAATTATGACGAGGGATTTGGACAGAAACCACACAAAGAACTATGGAATAATAAGAACCAGGACAATACAGCTGAAAAGACCAAAGTCAAATCCCCATCACCTGAGAAGAAAGTCATCAATTCCAGAATTCCCACTGCTCGGAGCACATCAGTTACTCGGGAAGATGACGTGAGAAAGCCAGAAGATGAAAGCAAAAAGCTCACCACTAAGATTTCTGTGGTATGGCCTCCTCAATCAGATTCTCCAAAGAAATCCTACACTATCCAGGAGGAGTTGAAGTTGGTGAAGCCCTCATGGCCCCCTAAGGAGGGCTCGGCTCAGGAAGAGGAACACCTAAATCAGCCTGTGAAGCCTTCATTAAAGGAGACCGATAACCCCGCAGCCAAAGTACAAAATGGACCCGAGGGGGAGAAAGTGAAAAAGCCCGAAGAGACTCCAGCTCAGTCAGAGGCTCCGGCCTCCCCGGCAGCAGTCAGCACTCGAGAAACTAAAGAGTCAAACAGTGGCTCCCAGGCCGTGGCACAAGTGGGTTCTGAAATGGACTCTGAAGTGCGGCCTGGAGTGGAAGAGAAGGAACAAAGCCCGGGGTGCGGCGGCGGGGGCGGAGCTGTGGAAGGCACAAAAGTACCGCGGGAGAGTGGAGAGGACGGCGCAGAAAGGGTGGAGGAAGTGATAGTGAATGGACATGAGAGGCAGAGAGAGAGTGCAGCGGGTGAGAAGGAAAGCCAGGAGGAGAGAGATAAAGGAAATACTGACGGCATGAACAATGGGGAGGCGGTAAAGGTCACCTTAATAGATGAGGAGGAGGCGGGGGGACGGGCTCTGAATGCAAACTCCAACAATAACAATAATTACGGCCAGATGCTTCTGGATCATGACATCCTGTTTCAAGGGCTGAGCGAGGTCGAGGGAAAGGGAAACCAGTCGCTTTTCCTGACGGATACAATGGATTTCTTCCAATCCGATCACTGCGAGGAATCAAAATGGATGCCAATCGAAGTGCTGCAGTTGGCACAGAGGGACGACGCTTTTGTGCCAGCGGGTGCCAAATGTGCCGACACCACGGGCCGCCATTCAGACGCAGGCTCCTTCGCGGAGACGTCCGAGGGAGCGTTCGCTTTCAGAAGCGAGGCCAGCGGGCCGAAGATGAGCACATCGAGCTTCCTCGAGGACATCTTCGCAGGCCTGAGCAGCGGCGGCGGTGGCGGCTCGGGCCTGCTATCAGATTTCACATCCGGCGTCTTCGGGGAGTCGCCCCCGGCGTCGGCGCTGGATGACCTTTTGGATTTGGGGACGGAGGCGAGGGAGGGCTCGGGTGAAATGGGAGACGTGAGGCGGAAGGATGAGAGCAGTGACAGCGTCGCCCCAAACGATGACGAGGAGGCCCTGACAGTGGAGGAGCAGATCAAGAGGAATAGATACTACGACGACAGCGACGACTCCTGAACTCCTCGGCCCATTTCAGCTACTAATCACACAGCGTTGACCACATTTCACATCTCATGTCCATGGAGAGATGAACTGCTCCGATTGAATCCAGTGTTTTTGTACTGCGTTTTAAGACTGCTCTTTTACTTTATCTAGCTTTGTTTGATGGAATGCACCTGGTGTGCAGAGAGTGTTTCTTCTCCTGTTACTTAGTATGCATATCTATATTTTTGCCGACTGATCTAAACAAAAGGCTATATTTTCAAATAAGTGCATTAATTACAAACTGTTTTTCTCTTAACAAATGTCCGCCAGCTTTCTTTTTGTGCCTGAATAAAGAGGTTTTTCCCTTATTTTTTGTTATTTCTGTCATGTCTCCTGGTTGAAATAAAACTTCACAAACGCGACAAACGTATGAGTTTTTAATCAGTGAGTGCACAGACCATAATAGTGCTTAGCTGAGCCTCCTTTTGTGAGGCCGGCCATTTTGATATATGACCTACCGAGGAAACACTGTCCAGCTAAGATCTCTCTGGCGAAAGGCGTATTGATTTTCAGTGATAGAGCCGGCCTGCTGTAGGAGTTACAGATTTTTCCATTAGGTGGCTTTTGTCACCTTTTGACAGATCCCCCCCCCCCCCCCCTCTTCATGGTTACAGCTTGAACACATGGGGTAATTGGCTGCAATGAGAATATACGGCACTGTTAATTACACCGGCAAAAAACCTACTTTAGTGTCAGGAAAGTGATGGCTCGGGTCATGACGCTGCGTTTGTGCTGACAGCTCCTTTAAGTTGGGGAAGCACTGTTGCTGCCTCAATAACTCTGCATCCTCTCCTGAAATGCAGTTTGGCATCTTTTTTTAATTCGGCTGTTTCTTTTTTTTTCCACCCCGGAACGTTTTCATTTAATATCCAAAGTAGATGCTGTTTTGTCTGTTTTTTTAAAATTGTTTTATCCTCCTGCCAAACAATTACAAAATGCTGCATTTTAAAGTAATACCCGGTCACCTGTCCTAAACTTTTAACAGCAAGTATTGTGATTATAATAATTATTTTTGCAGAATCCAACAAAGTTGCATTATAGAGTTCACTTGTCAGCGCTAGTTAGGTGTGATACATCAAATGCATGGTGTGAAGTCATTCCATCATAACAGAGTATGAACCTTTAATTGTGTTCAATCAAAATGAGGCCGTCCTTTACGGAACCTGTCAATCATGCAGCTCCTTTGAAAGCCTCCCCCGTGCAGCTAAACCGGTACGTGGGGGTTTTATTGTCGCCCCCGGATGCCATCAGATCGCCCAGGCGTGACGAGCCGGTCGCTCCGTTGCTTGAAAGTCAATCTCCGTTAATAAACAAAGCAGCATCACTCTGCGCGCGTCCGATTGGCTGTCATCCCTCTGAACAGACGCCCGCTGATTGGACGGCTCCTCTCCTCCTGTCGGCCGCAGCAGCTCCCCCCCCCCCCTCCTCCCACGAGCGTGCAGCGCGAGGCACCGAGCAGAGGAGGAATCCGCGCGCGGCATGTGGAGCGGACGGGTGTGTTTCAGGCTGGAAAGGACAAGTTCTAACGAAGGGGACACGGAGAACGACACCGGTAGGTGCTCAGGACACGCTGGGAAAAATGTCGCGTTTTGTTCGGCGCGTGGCGAGCAGGACGCTTTCTAGGCACTAATTAATTGCTCGCTGTCGGGCGCCCTCGCGCCTCCGGAAGGATGCCGTGTGTGGAAGTGACATTGAGTTAACGGGCTCCGTCATGTGGCAGTGTGTTTATGAACGCCTCGCTATTTCGACCCTCTCTGTCTGTGGCAGTTCATTTGTCGTCTCTTCTACTTTAGCAAAAGAGAGGCTGTGTTTAAAACAAATTAAATTAAATAACTCTCCGGTGGAAACAGTGGTTTTAAACTTGCTTCTGACGGTTTCAGCTCGTCTTCAGCGGCTTGGTCGCCTTTTATGTGTGAAGTGGGACCGCGCGAGCCCGGAATCATCATCATTTACGCGCTTAATTTCTCGTTTGTAAATACATGCTATTATTTAAATTTAATTGTCGGCTCATTGGCAGCTGTGTGTGTGTGTGTGTGTGTGTGTGTGTGTGTGTGTGTGTGTGTGTGTGTGTGTGTGTGTGTGTGTGAGAGAGAGAGAGAGAGAGAGACAGAATTAAATCCAGATAAGTGCACGAGAGCATTTTGCGTCTCTTTG